AAAGGCTTCATTGCTGTGACCTGCTATTACTATTACCGTGATTATTCCACAGGCTGCGTCTGAAAGCACAAAGCACTCTGGTTTATTTAAGGTGGACTGGACCGATGGCGCGTGCACGCTGAAGCGATCTCAGTGAGTACTTTAAGTGTTTTGGAAGAATCAGAGAGCTGGCCTTGTGCTGTGTTCATCACAAACACTGGAAATGTCAAATTTACAGGTTTGTGTTCAGCGTGTTCTGCTTATTGGAGCGTTTTTATCCGCAGCTGTAACTCTGACAGCCGTTAGTGTCGGGACGAAATCTGTTTAATGAAACCGTTTCTCTTATTGCATCGTTCACTGAACGAGATGTAAAGTCAGACTGAAATCTGTCTGCGCAGCGTTAAATTTACACTGTTTCCTGTCTGCATGCACGCTTACCACCGCCGCTGCCACCGCTGCCGCCACCACAACCACCACCGCCGCCGCCACCGCTGCCGCCACCACAACCACCACCACACCCACCACCACTCAGCATAACTCAGCGGACTGGCCAGTGTGCTCACATTAAAACATTAACTGTGTGAGCTGCACATGTCAGCAGACTGAGAGCAGGGACTCAGAGCTGGGCTGTTCTTCAGACCTGCAGGTTGTTGTCGACCCGCAGCTCCTGAGAGCTGCAACGATCATGTTTTATGTAGCGCGCTGCTAAAGGTCGCTGTGGTTTAATTAAAGCTTAATCGCTGATCCCGGCGCTCTGAACCACAGAACAACCCAACGACACATCTGCCAGCAGCTGGTTTACAAATCAGTTATTAACCAATTAGCAGTGATTACTGATGGGGCCACAGGCTGCTAACAGTAACAACGATCAGCAGCACGATGGAGCCGTTTCTTTGGTACTTTCTGTTTATGCATAAACGATTTCTTTATGTGAAGAGTTTCTGGAAGTGTTTCACCAGGAAGAGCCGACCGACACTCCGTCAGTCTTCTGAAAGCCTCTGTTGGCTTTTTCACGTCTGAGTTGTTGAGTGAACGCCGCTGCAGGAGGACGTGCTTCAGGTCTCGACTCTTTTAGTGGCACAAACGTCTGTTTTCTGCGTCGCACGCCACGAAAACCCAAAACGCCCACATCTGACCCGAGCGACCTCCTGACAAGCCGCGTTGACGGGACGACGGCTCGCCTGTAAATGAGGTTTCTGTCAGACTGAAAGGTCAAGCGGGCACACTCCATCAGACGTGACAGCTGATAAAGACGCGGAGGTAAGACCGAGGAGTCTCCCGGCTCGTGGAGCTGTAATTGGCCTCGTCGCTTGGAGTGCTCGCACAGATGAAGCACAGCACTCGACACGCTTTCAACCTTTCGAAGTGACGGCCCGGCGGGACGGATTTCGTTTCAGGTGGTTGTGACACAGATTTACAACATGAAGTCTGACACGTTTAAAGACCAACACTCGGACGCTGTGTGTGCTGCGGTCTGGCTTCAGGGCCGAACCTGCCTGATGTGGCGTACTCACAGTGCGGGCTCTCCTTGCCGCCGGCTTTCAGCAGCAGCTTGGCGATGGGCGTGTTGTTGGTCATGATGGCGATGTCGAGCGGCGTCAGGCCCTGGCTGTTGGGAGTGTTCAGGTCCAGCTCCTCGGCCGAACACTGGTACAGAAGGATCTGCACGGCGTCCAGGTCCTGCTGCTCCACCGCCTCGAAGATGCAGTCGCTGCCCTGCATCGTCTGAAAGTGAGAACCAGCATTTTACCAGTCTGGACACGTGGTCACGTGACTTTATGACACAAACCAAAGGTGAAGATCATACAAACCTGGAGCCAAAACAAGCAAAACAACAGGAAGCTAAACAACAACCATCGAACGGCAGCGTTTCCTGATCCACAGTCGGAGCTTCCTGATGGTTCATGAGCCCACAGTGTCTGAAACACCGAGCTCTCTGGGCGCTCGCTTTACACCAATCATGTCATTAAGCAGCCGCCAGATGTTCCAGCAGCTGTTTGACATCTTTAAAGAACAGATAACATTTCTCAGTTTCCACGTGTGACGAGTTTAAAAAACGCCGCTGCTCGGATCATCTGTACGTCTCCCACCGCGCTGCTTCATCCCCCTCAGACCTCACGTGCAGCATCCTTTCAGGCGCCGCGGGGACATCACCGCGTGAAACGGACACGTATGACATGTGTGCACGATCATGTGGTTACCATGGGAACAGGCGTGCAGGAGTTTCGTCAGTGAGACGAGCCGTCCTCAGGATTCCTGATCTCTCCACGTTTGTGCCGAGACACTGTGTGTGTGTGACTGTGAGTCTGTCGGTGAGCTCAGGTCACATGACACTTTATTCAAAGAGGAAGCAGCTGAAAACGACCTTTTTGCTGACGTGGAGATGAGATGATTTGAGTCACTTTCACTCTTTAATCTGCTGATTCTGAGGCTGCGTCCACACGTACACGGGTATTTTTGAAAACGGAAAATCTCCGTTTTCATTTTCAAAAATACCCCCGTCCACACGTAAAGGCAGAAATGAAGGAAAACGCTGCTAGGAACATGCCAAAGCAACAGGTGGCGATATATTCTTAACCGTGTAGAAATGTTGGCCAATCAGAAGTCTAGAAGCCTCGGTGGGAAAAAGTAAACAAAGCTGGGGCATAGAAGCAGAACCGAGTCGTATGTGTGGAGGGACAGTAACTGTGTTTATGTAAGCATTTAAACACTGCAGAGAGTAGAATTAACAGTATTGTAGAAATTCATTTCACCGAAACAATAACGTGGCGCACACTGTGACGTCAAAAAAAGCGCACATCTTTGACGCTGCGTTTTCCTCGTCACACGTAAATGCAAAAACAGAGTTTTCGAAAACATTCACCCTGGCAGGCGTTTTTAGAAATCTCCGTTTTCAGTGACCGAAAACGCCGTTTACGTGTGGACGGAAGGTGCAAACGCATAGAAAAATCTGCGTTTTCTAAAATACCCGGGTACGTGTGGATGTAGTCTGCTGACTCGCTCGAGCGTCGGCTCAGCGTCTCTGAAACGAGCCGCCTGTTCTCACTGAGCTCACAAACAGCGAGTGAAACCGTGGCGACCTGAGATCTGCCATCGGTGACAGGATTCAACCAGCAATGAAACGTCTGGATTCTGACGAGCTGTCAAAAACTGACCAGCAGAAACTAAAATAGAGCAGTTATCATGTATTATTATCATACTTAGTCACACTGAACTGGATTATTTTGTTATTATTTTAATTTAATCTTTTGTAAACAGCAAAAGAAGAATTTTATTATTCAGGGAAAAATTTTTCTTTACTGACCAAACTTCAAACTTTACTTTAAATACTTCAGAATTTTACATACTTGTACTTTATACTTTGTACTCAACAGTAATCACACTTTATTTCATTATAAGACTGGTAGACATAAAAAATACTGTAATATAATGTAACATGAATGACTGTAACTAATGATAAATTAGTCCGTTCATTTATAAATGCATTGTAATTTAAAATGATCACGCCAGAATATTAAAACTTTACTTATTTATGGGTTTTATAGTTGAACATTCCTGTAATTATTATTATAAATATACTGTATTTGCCATATATTATAATCACATCGTCATATTACACTCATCCTACTGCAGTGTAATTACACTACAGTGTGTCAGTTACAATGTAACTGCAGTGTAATTACAGACCCAGCCTCATGCTCTCATGTTTAACTTAAGTTAAACTAATTCTTCATAAACTGTATTAAACTAATTTATTAACGTCACAATGTAATTATAAAAATGTAATAATAATATTTATATAAACAGAATATTTCACTGTATTTAATTACAAATAATGTAAAAACCCGAGTGTTGGAAACGACTTTTTGAATGTTTCCTCCTCACAGAGTAAAGAAGCAGCGAGGAGGAAGCTGATGAAACGGAAACAAAGTGTTTCTCTGCTCAGGCTGGAAACGGCTCCTCCTTCGCTTGTCTCTGTAGACGTGACGGCAGCGAGCGGAAACTTTTTGTTCTTTGTCAGGCTGACAGAGGGCGGCAGCGACCATCCACAGCGTGGCGGCTGCTTTCAGGTTTATCACAAAGCGTGTGAACAGAGAAACATCCTGCAGGCCGCTGCGTGGCTGTTATTGCTGAGGGCGGCGCCGCGCTGAGCTATGCCTCCTGAAACCACAAAGCCTTTAACAGAACACAGAGCCGGGTGGTGCAGGTGGAGCTGCAGACCATCAGACGCGACGTGGGCCCTGGTTCAAAGTTGGATCAGGCTTCTGGATTTAGAAACAGCTTTGAGGTTTTGAAGTGGCGACATCACCAGTGTCGGTTTGGGCTCACTTCAGTTCTGTTAGTGATGTTTCCACCTCTCTTTGACTGGATTCAGTCACCTGTGACTGGGTTTGGATGTGTTTCCTGGACACTCGCCTGGTGGACCAGTCACAGTTTTTCAGTCCGTGTCGGTGTCTTTAGGATTAAGATCAATGGTTGTGGTTTTAAACTAGATCACGATCGTGAAACACTTGTTGTGTGGACTGAAAGTGTCTCATGTAGTCCTGGAGGTTTGCTTTCCTGCTGCCGAACGACTCTGAACAATCTGCAGCAGAGGTTCAACTTCTAAGAACTAAAGACAGTTTCAGGTGCAGCCCTTGCACAGCAGTTTGGGAACGAGCTTCCATCATCCTGGATTCAGACGGTTTTGTTTGTTTCTACTTGTTACTCTGAACCTGGTGTTGTGTTTACACCAGAGATGGGTTTGAACTTGTTTGGTATGGTTTACTATCTCGACTGGTTCAGCTGATACTAATTTACAGCTCAGATTTGGGACGTCCTTGAGAACTCGCCACAGCTGTTCTGTGGACACTGGACTCCCATTGGATGGTTTTTGGACTTTGTTGGGGTTGGTTATTATCTTTGTTTTGGAGAACCTTACCCTGGTGTGTGTTTTGTGGATTTGTCTCCCTCCATCTGCTGCAGGTCTTTGTGAGTTTGGGCTCCTGCAGAATGAACACGGGGACCTTTGGATGGTGGAGATTTGGACTGTGAGCCTAAACGTGAGCAGAGTTCTGCAGATCGACTCGTACTCGCTGTGCTTGGAGGCTTTTGTTTCCTCCCCCGTCTGCCTCTTTGTTTCATGTCTGCTGCTGTGGCTGGTTTGTAAATGTCAGCAGGCTGGCAGAGAGAGTGCGCGTGCAACATGACCTGTCACACATGATGAGTCGCCGCAACCAAATGTTTCGCAGGGCAGCAGGAAGGCGGCGACGATGGCAGCAGACAGAGACGAGCCTGAGAAAAGATGGCGTGTTGCTACAAACCAAAGACGGCGTCCACAGTGTCCTCGAGCGAGGCACGTAACTCCACGTTCTCAGTTCGCCGAACTCTGCAGCCGTGGAGTGACGAACAGTCTGTCTTTACGATGCTGGTCTGAGATCAGATGAAAGACGCGACAGTCGAGAGCAGAGGCTCTGACGACATCGCCGGTAACAGAATTAGCGAAGCGCGTTTCTCGATCCTTCTGTCAGAGACGGGGTTTCCCCCGTCAGGCCAGCCATCGCCACGGCAACATTAGCACAAGAAAAAAGCATCACATGAACATGTGGAGAGTTTATCACAGCTTCATGATCAGGATACAGGAGTTTTTTAAAGACTCGATCTGAGCGAATACCTGAACATCAGTGCCTGCACGCTCTCTGTGTTACTGTAGCGTAACAGCGCTGTGACACCTGTGCTACCTGTAATTCGGTGCTATGTAAATAAAACTGAACACATTAATGATGATTAAAAGATTAAAACACCTTTATTCATGTTTTTGTGCCGTATGTTAGTGTTTTTATTCAGAAAACAGTTTCCAGCTGCTGAAATGTGAAGCTTGTTTGCTGTGTGAGTGTAAAGCACGTCTGCAAACAGACTCAGCCATGCGGTGACAGGATAGTTTCACTGCTGACTTTCACACTCATCCCAAGACGTAAAGAGACTTCCTGTTTGCTGCATTGATGAAGACTGGATGAGTTTCTGCTAATTAGGACACAAATTAAAGCTGGAGGCTGACTAAGAGGACGCATTAGTCAGTGCGCCCCAGGGTGGCTGTAGCTACAATGTAGCTGCCATCACCAGTGTGTGAATGTGTGGATGACTGTGTAAAGCACTATACAAATACAGGCCATTTACCATTTACCATTAGCTTAAATGGATTTTTGAGCGATGAACTGTCAGAGTAACATCGGCCTCGTGCGGCTCTTTGTGTTCAAACCCCGCAGGATTCATGTCCAGCGTCTGTGCTGCAGTTAAAACAAACCTGCCGCGTTAACTAAGTAAAGTGATGCAGTGACCGAGGCGCGCCTGAACTCACCGAGGCTTTACGGAGCCGATCCGTCTTGCCAAAGAAGTAGGCATCTTCGAAGGAGGAGGTGCTTCCTCGCAGCTTCTCCGACAGGTTCCTGTAGAGGCGCTTGGCGGCATTGGGGGAGGCCGGCCCGCCGGGGCACTTCCTGGTCTGGGACAACTGTAGGTTCTGCATCTGCTGCGTCATAACACCCGGGAGGCGTCTGCTGGGATGGAAATGCAAAGATCGACGTTAGCTGTTGGGATAAAGCATCGGATACAGACAAACAGGGATCACACGTGTCATCAAATGTTAATTACAGCTTTGGCATCCTCATAGAACCAGAGTTATGCTGAGCAACCACTGCTTACTCTGGACCCGTTACCATCACAGTCGCTGGAGGATCCTTTACATCAGTAATGCTGACAGACTAGATCATAAAGCAGCTGCCAAAACCACCAATCAGAACCTCTGAGGACGTCCACAGTTTTACAGCACGCGGCAAAAGTCGAGGCAATAAACATGTCTGTGAAGGTTCTCAGTCATCCAGGTCATCGTAGTCAAAGGAGCTTGCAAAGAAAAGCATCTGGACTTCTTTAAGTTGCTTGAAGACGTTTCACCTCTCATCCGAGAAGC